TGCTTAGCACCACAAAGCAGTGGTGGGGGTGGGGGGGACAGTCATAACTGGACCTGCATCCTGCTGGGGGAAGGGGGAGCACTTATTTTCTATAATAAACCAAAATCAAATGCCAAAGTATATAGGTACTTATAATTTATTATAATGATTGAGGCACTGGTAGCCTTCCAAATTACTCTAAAATTGTAACTATTATCAATAAACATTGCGTTCAACTGATGCTATAACTGTAGTAGTGTTTCATTATAATCGCAGAAAAATGCAGATTTTAGAGGTTTTTAATCAGAGAATTTTTTATTTTTATTAGAGAATCTGTGACTTTTAAACAGAGAAAGCCAGGATCCCTGGTAATAACACCTGCAAGGCTTGGGGCACGGTATAGGGATGGAATGGAGCCATGCACTTAGCCTTTAAGGCGATGACCACAGGCACCTGGTGGTCATTAGATTAGAGAGAGAGTGCGCAGCTTGGAAAGCCCTGGGGCAGCCTCCCTTGTATAAATAACAAGAAACATCAAGGCTTGGCAGGTGAGACCAAGGGGTAACTGCTCAGAGAGGGCAAGTGGCTAAGGGCAAAAAAGGGACTCCAGGGGCTTCATGGCCTCCCATGGCGATGCCCTTGCTACAGTGTACCAGATGATTTTCAACTTCTGTACTGTCACACCCTTGTTAATTTGGTACTTAGTTTCTGAGACTTGTGAAGAAGCTAAATGAAAATTGTGGGGAAAATTAGTTTATTTTATCCCTGAGTCATGGTTTCGGTAGTACTTAATTGATTGGTTATCACCATGTTGCACAGCTTGGTCTCCCAAGACTTTCAATATTGTAGACTAGAGAGAAGGAAGTGGCAGGAATGGCAGTGATACTGCAGTTAGAGAAAAGTGTAATTTTGTCAAGTTTCTCTGCCTCCAGCTTCTAATGCTTCTGATAAAAGCATTATCTCTTCATAGTGATTTTTTTTCCTATTTATCTGTGTTCCTGTATGTAGATACAAATAGCATTCATTATGATTTGAGAGGTGTATGGCTGTTGGAATATAGAGCACCTTTCATTTTTCATGTACCCAGTTCAAATGTACCCCTATTACTATAAAGTGAAATTCATTATTCTTCTTATTGCTTCTTGAGGTGCCATGTGAAATTACTTGATAGACTTAAGCTTCTTCCTGGTGGATAGGGGTCCATGTCACAAAATCATTATATTTGTTGGCAACCTTGTCAGCAGAGAAATGAAAGATTAAATTGTCATGGAGACTGATCTCTGGCTCCTCCAGAATGTATTATTGTGCTTCATTGTGGAAATGCAATGAAACACAGTATTTTTTGCTTTATTCTGTACCTGGTCAGAAGTCAAACTGAAGATGCACATTTGAGGACATCTCAAGATCTAGTAGATAAAGAAAAATTATAAGTGAGTGAAAGCATATTTTAGACTGAAGTAACGTTGTTAAAAGAAAGTAGAATAGTTTAATTTGAAGATGGTCAAATACTGACCTGGACAGCACTAGTAGCAAAATTCAGTTAAGGAGTAAGCAAAATGGCCTTTATGTTCCAGGAAATTTGTTGTTTTAATCTTATATGAGTATTCATAAACACTTGCTTTTGACAGGACACCCAAGAGATCTCCACAAGCTTCTACACAACTAAGTGGTTTTTTCAGTGTTTCCTTGATCGTGTGAGTATCTTCGTACCTTATATTCCCATTTTTAGTCTTAGGTTGGGGCTAACTGTTCTGACATTTCTGTGTGATTCTGTTATTACAGACTCCTTTTACATTAAACCTCAGGATATGGGATATCTACATACTGGAAGGAGAGCGTGTGCTTACAGCTATGTCTTACACAATTCTGAAACTGCACAAGAGTAAGATCTCTCACCATTTAAATGCTAAATAGGAATTTGTCAGGGTTTTAAGTGTTGTTT